AGCAATATTGGATATGAGTTTTTTGTGCTATTGTTGTTTATGGGATGGTCTTCTACTACTTAGGATTTAATGTTTTATGAAGACTTCTGGGGATGCTCCTGTCAACTGATGTGCCTTGAATTTTGAAGGAAATGCCAGCCTAGGGTTAATGAGGTGGAGATTCTGGACCTGCTTTGGTTAGGCAGAGGGTCGCCGCAGGGCGTGGAAAAGTCTTAGGCAATGGTCCCGGTGTGGATTTATGATTTAAGATGAGAATGTCACCACCTGAATATGCATCCCTGGAAGCCAGGACAACACTCCATCCACTCCATTCACTAGACAACAGTGAACGAGGCACTCCAACCCCCTTACCTTCTCTCTACTCTCAGCATCTCATGGACAAGAGTGTCCCTCCTGAAATGTGGTTTGTTGAAAACACCCCAAACAGACCAAGGCTGATGGATGGGGTGCTGAAAGGGAACTGGGCTCTGTTGTGTGAAACGGGGTGTGTGATGGGGTTCTGGAACAGCAGAGTCCAGGCAGCAGTCCTTAAATATCGGAGTCAAAAGAGTAAATCACCATAATAGGCAGTGACAAAGAAATAAGGATAGTCTATGGACTGAACGTGTTTGCCACTCAATGCCTCTTTTGCAGACTGCAACACCCCAAAGGAGAGAGAGAACACAGGGGATTGCCCTGCCACAGAGGCAGGGGGGGATGGGGGGATGGGGTGGGGGGGATATTATCCATGGTGGTGGAAAATGGGCACTGGTGGAGGGATGGGTATCTGATCATTGTATAATCAAACCCAAGCACAAAAAATTGTAAATCTACAACTGTACCTCATGGTGTTTCACTAATAAAAAAAAAATTTTTTTAAAAAAGTTACCACCCCCCCCCAAAAAAAGAAAAGAAATAAGGATAGAAAAAAAAAGGCCACTAAGAAGCCTGTCCCCCAAGGATCAGTGGAGAAGTTAATAGACCTTTTAAGTTAGGATAAAAATTGCCAGGTTTCCATGAAAGCTATTGAAGGACTCTTCAGGTCATAAAATAGCAAGACATGTCAGTTTCTGCATGAAGGATTACCTTCCTTTAGCCTTCCCTTCAGCCTGTTCATAGGACCAAAACCCGGGGATCCTAGTGGAAAACTTTTTGAGGAAGGATACTGTCAGGCCAAAGGGCAATAACTATTAGCCCAAGTATCTGCATGCTGTAAAGAAAACACACATCTTTTTAGGACTACTGCATGCATAACCTTGCCTTTTGATTTAGGATGGCTGCAAATTTTTGGATTTTGGTTAGAAATGGCATTTAAATTTTCTGTGGAAGGGCTAGGTAATACTTAGTTTAGGCTATGTGGGCTCTAAAATATATTTCCACTAGTCAGCTCTACCATTAGCATGAAAGCATTCATAGATAATAAAGAAACCAATGGTAGAAGCTGTCTTACAACAAAACTGTATTTATAGAAACAGGGAGCAGGTAGGATTTGGGCCCAGGCCACCTGGTCCAGACTCCTGACTTGGGACATAGTCAACTTTTCACAAAAAATTCCATGGGTGATTTGCTCTTCAAGTCCATGTTCTCCCTTCCATATGTATCCTGCTTGCTTGTATGTTTCTTTGCTTGCACATTTCCACTTTGGAGAAGCCTGTGTTTTCTTTGAATGCACATTTACTGCTTTCCCTCCCCTCATATCTTTCTAAATAAGTTCCAATAAAAGTATCTTGCTTCTGGGGGCTGGAGTGATAGCACAGCAAGTAGGGCATTTTCCTTGCACGCAGTCGACCTGGGTTTGATTCCTAGCATCCCATATAGTCCCCTGAGCACTGCCAGGAGTAATTCCCGAGTGTATGAGCCAGGAGTAACCCCTGTGTACCGCTGGGTATGACCCAAAAAGAAAAAAAAAACTATCTTGCTTCACCAAGAAAAAAATATCCAGGAGAGCATGAAAATGTAAAATCTCCAATTGTCTGGTACATTTTCTTGTAAATTATCACTATTCATTAGATTATGCTGTTCAAGTTTATGTTCTACTTTTGAGGGTTTCTCATCTGTAAATAACAATGGTTATCTTGGGAGCATGGCTCACCTGTGAAATATATGTTTTAGATCTGGGTTTGATTCTTGGCACTGTAACAAACAAAAAACAGTAATAAAGATCATGAATGTATTTGCACTACAATTTTGAAGTTGTGTTGTTAGGAGCATAGAAATTCAGAAGCTTTATTTTTTCCTGGGTAGTTGAAATGTATCATCTTGAAATAATACTCATGAATTTTAATAATGTTCTCTAATTAACTAATAAGAAAATAATAGAGATACATTGGCCTTTTCTTTTTTTTTTTTTTTTTAAGGCAGAATGCTACACACAGCCTCATTAGATGAGTCTGGAGTCTTGCAAGCTTGAATAGCCCACGACTTTCTCTTACAAATGGAACTTGAAAGCTTGAAAGGTTCTAGCAGGTGAATGCAGCTACTCATAAACCCTCAACCAAAGAATGGCCTGACTGTATTCGGGGAAGGCTGTCCTTAGTCAAGCACACAGCTTCGGGAGGGCAGAGGCACAGCACTGAGAAGTGGCCCGCCCAGCCAGTCAGCTCAACTGGGTCAACCCTAGCAATCAACGGGGTGGCAGATACTGCAGCCAGACCATGCTCACATCCTCTTTCAAGTGTTATTGTTGCATTTTTTCACTCTTTATTTACCATTTTCATGCATCTTCAGTGACAGTGACAGTGACAGCACTTTTATGGCCCAAGTTTCCTAGGAGCCAAAGCAAATGACACCATGTTTACTGAAAAAATGCAGCTAGAATCTATTTGCATCTTTGACCAACCCAGATACATTTGACATTTGGGGTACTAAAATGGAATTAAAGTTCTTAAAGGCAGTTTTGAAAACACTCGGACCAGGGAACTAGCACAGAGGTGACTCTGGGTTCATCTCTGGCACCTCAAGCCCCCGAGCATCACCAGGTCTGTAGCATGGAGCCCCCCGACCAGCACAGGGTCTCAGCAGCGCTACATCCTCATGCTCTAGCACTGAGCTGTCCTGCCTGATTGGCTGAGTAAAGTGAGAGTGCCTTCAGGTCTCCCCCCCTCCGAGTACTGTTTGCAAGCTTCCTAGCTCCCTCCTGCACCCCCACCCCCTACACACACACACACACACACACACAAACTTTTAGAAGTTTTCACAGGATCACACAACACTTGTAGAAATTAAGATTCTATCAGAAGCCAATGATGTAGACACATGGAAAAAAAAGAATCAGACTTCTGACATATTCTCTTCTTGTGGGTCCTTCTGTTTTGCTCCTTCAGCCCAACCCTTCACTCAACCACACCAAGGTTCCTGGTGTGCTACTCTGTGGAACTCCAGTTTCCTGGAAGGTCAGGCATGGTAAAGGAAGCTTCGAATACAGTAATACACCTAATTTCAGGGAAGCAGGTAGCAGGGAAAGGTGCCACCTTGCGGGTGGCAGAGCCAAAACATCAAGGAAGGGTTCCACTTAGTACCTTTTTGAACAAGGATTTAACTTCTGAGGGTCTCAGTTTCCTAATTGGACTGTTGGCAACAATCCCTTCATTGAAGAGTAGAGACATTAAAGGAAATAGTAGCTATACAGTTCCCTTATACCCCACTCCAACCCCCTTACCTTTTCTCTACTCTCAGCATCTCATGGACAAGAGTGTCCCTCCTGAAATCTGGCTTGCTGAAAACACCCCTTTGTGTAGGATCTGGGATGGTGCTGTTTCCTGTCCCACTCTCATCCTCTTGAGAAGTGAGGGAGGCTTGGCCCGAGATTTCAAACAAAGGTGGAACAGCATACTCTCAGGCCTAGGTCACAACTGGAGGGATCCCAGGTATTTCCAGTTCTGTGATCCAAGGTCCAGAGTCACAGTCTTGAGCTGTGTCGGTGGATCTCCATTGAGCAAAAAAGCTCTTCTAATTATTCATGACTCTGGGGCAATAATGTCACTATCACTGGAAATGTCACCACTTTGAGTGTAATTATTGGAAACTATGTGGGCTGGTAGAGCAGGTAAGGCACTTGCCTGGCACCCCATATGGTCAAGCCCTTCCAGGAGTGATTCCTGCATGCAAAGCCAATCATAAGCCCTGCACATGCTGGGTGTGCCCCAGAAAGAAAACAAAACAAAAACAAAACCAAAAACCATCCCTCCAAAACAAAACAATACAAAAACTTGGTCCCATTCCAACATAGTTTATGGCTTAGTGAATCCCAAGACCTATATGCATGTCTGTATTGCACATACCTGAATGATGAACCTTACAATGATCCTAGGAGTGAAGTTACACTCAACAAACATGCAACCGAAATGTTGATTGCAAGCCCCATGGAGGCAAGAACATGCAGTAGTTGCCTCTGTTCCCCACCTTCTGTCTTACCCTGGCTCATAAATACTCTGTGGGAAACTGCTGATTTTTGGTTTTTAAGGACCAACTGCTCACTCATGGAACAAGGAACAACATTAGTCTGAGCATGTCTGGGACCCAGCCTGGGCGGGTCTGTATAACTGAGGCCAATGTGTGTGTGTGTGTGTGTGTGTGTGTGTGTGTGTGTGTGTGTGTGTGTACATATATTTAGCACGCATTAAAAAAGCATTAAAGACACAGGGAGGGGCTGGAGCGATAGTACAGTGGGTAGGGTGTTTGCCTTGCACGCAGCTGACCCAGGTTCGATTCCCAGTATCCCATATGGTCCCCCGAGCATCACCAGGAATAATTCCTGAGTGCAGAGTCAGGAGTAACCCCTGTGCATCGCCAGGTGTGACCCAAAAAGAAAAAAAAAAAGAAGAGACAGGCAGACAGAACAATGGACTTGTGGATGTCCTTCAGACACTCTGCTAGACTTAACACCTACTGTTCCGATGACTGAGCTCCACAGGCACTGCCAGAAGGATCAGGGCCATGACCTCCTTTATTCTGTCCTTCACAAAATCACCCACAACATTCATTTCCAACAACATACACTTGTGTCAATAAAAGAGGTGACCCACACTTTCATTTTCTTTATTTTTCATTGATACCGTATGAATACAAAGTTTCTAGAAAGCTACAAAATGTCTACCACTTTATCAAGAAGGCATCAAAATGTGTCACTTTGCAAAGACATGAAAACACCTGCAGGAACTGACACAAAAATAGCATTTTTAGAGTGATGAAATAATTGCACTTAACTGTCATGGATATTAAAGTTATCACACATATGTACCGCGAAAGCTAGAATACATTTTTTTTCTTTTTACAAAGCACTTTATAAAAAAATTCTCTGCACACAAACCCTATAATTTTCATATAACTATCATACTAAAGATAAATTCACTTTAAAGCCAACACTTAGAACATTTTTTTAAACAAAAAGGTACCAGTACCTAAACACAGACATTAACAAATACAAGAATACTGTACTGCCAAGAGGTTTAACCAAATGCCTTTTGAAGGTTTCTGCAAATAGGTTAAGAAAACAAGTGTGAAAATTTGACCCCACCCTCCCATAGCTCCATCTACCCCAGGGGAACCTCCTTACTAAAGGCAGGCTCCAGAGCCCACTCAGGGCAGCAGTACAATATCAAAGGAACCACTGACCAGATGAAACGCTTACGTCACGAGCCCATTTCATACATGTGACACAAAGACACAGACCGTGAGATTCCCATTAAGTCATTTAGAATGTGAACAAATACACGTGGCAAAAACTGATGTACATAAAATCGAAGCATATTAAAGAATTAAAGGCTATTCAGGTTTCTTTTTAAAATGTTACAAAGGTTTTTTTTTTTTTGTAGTTTTTTTTTTTTGAGGCACGTACTGTTTTTGTTTTTAACTTTTCTTCCTCATTTGCAGTCATGACCCTATTAGAAAAGGCTCACAGAAGTGAAGGAGGTAACAGGGAGATGCATTTTTTTTTAAGAAGTGCATTTAGAATCTAATTGACACAATGAAACAATCACAGAAAATTACTAATGGAAGGAAGGAAGGAAGGAAGGAAGGAAGGAAGGAAGGAAGGAAGGAAGGAAGGAAGATGGAAATCAGAGTGGTTTCCAATTATTAATGCCTGGATTCTGTGCACCTCTCTGAGAGAAAGGGGAAGGAGAAATGAGTTCATGATGAAAGGCAGACGAGACTCAACCTGAGAGGTGGAATCTACTGGAATCGGACCCTGGTGAATGGTGAATGAGAGGGGTCACAAATGCTAAAGTGATGCCACAAGATGTGGCATACGACTCAATGCAAAGTCACAGAGGATAAAAACAAGTTAGGACTAAGGAAATGGGGCAATAAATACAAATACTTCATCTTAACGGTGCGTGAATTCAGCAAAATGGTTCTTTGCGATGCAATATGTTTTAAACACAAAACCTCCATTCTTAATCTAAGCAGTGAGTCCATGAGATAAAACTACTCCCAAACAAAGCACAGTAACAGTTGAAAAGAGAAGCAGAAATCAAATATTGGCTAATTTCTTTCAAGTTGTGTGACTGTACTGACAGGGAGGGGCTGGGTTTAAGAGACTGACTAGAACATGTGTGAAGTAATTTTCCTTTCCTTTCCTTTAATTTTTTCATGTAGCCATTTCTATGACTTGGTGCGGATAGAAATCACTCCTGAAATTCCAGAGCCCAAAGAGGGTAATTTTAAAGACACCAGGTAGAGACAGATGGGACATCTGGATTTAAGAGTTCAGAGGCTAACTTTCAAAGCTGTCTGATGTCATTTTAAAGTCTATAATGGTAAAGAAATATCTTTATGTATTTTTCCCCCTGGCTATTGTTTGGCTGGTGTTTTGGCCTTTGTGTCCTTTTCACTCCTCTTCTTTATCTCTATCAGTTTTCCTAATTGATATGAGCTTTTGATTTGATACAAAACCAACAATACAGACTTTAAAGAGTCGCCCTTTGGTGGGGCTGAACCATTCTTTGAAAAGGCCCAATTGTGAATGGTGGTGCTCTTTGGAAGTTTCTCTTAGCACATTCACGCACAACACTCAGAGTCCTAAAGAAGAACACTTGGATTGGAATGACCCTAACTCTTTTTTTTTTTTTACTCTGCACTGTCATCTCGGTTTGAGGCATCCAACTTTCAGAACGGTCTCATGGTATCTGGAAACCAGATTAAGTGCGCACTGTCAAAGGAAGGAGCGGAAGCCTCCCAGAGATGGAACAGGAACACGAGGAGAGAACAGATCCATCCACCAGCCCGAGTCTCGTGTGTGTGTGTGTGTGTGTCTGTGTAGGCTCCTTCCCTTGGAGGCGGGGTGATGAGTTGGGAGGACCCCCGAGGTCACCAACACACAAACACACACACACACATAGTTCCTGGGGTCCCTCCTGCTGCTGTGTGTGTTCCCAGTGAAGGGTGGTGGTGGCAGTGTAGATCACAGCAAGGTGGGGCCCGCGTCGTGCTCTTGTGAACAGAGGCCTGTGGTTGGTGACTCAACCCGGGAAACCAAAGGCATTACGGTGATCTCAAAATATTTTTGGTCTCTCTACAAATTATCTTAATTATGGCAGCACTTTTCTAAGCTGGAATCTCAAACCAAAGGCACTTTCATGCTAGAGTGCAGAAATTCACAAATAGCTACGTATTTGGTCGAGAATTTAAAAGGCAACATTAAAAGTACAATTTGCTTTTCATAGTAAACTATGAAGTTGCAAGACCTCCCGTTTTTTTGGTATATACATTTCAGGGTGTGGTCACAGAACTGATACTACAGGTTCAGTTTCAGATTTCTGACCAAATAGTCAGTTTCCCAAGGAATTGGAGAAAAATGGGCTTACTAAACAAAAAGGAAAACTTTTTCTTTTTTTTTTTGGCTCCTTCTCTTTTGAACACTGGGCCAATTAGTAAATGGATGTGGAAAACTGTGAGAAAAGGCGGCACGACTAAGTATCACTAAGGCACTGCTTACTGGAACGCTTTGGCAGCTCTGAATGTAAAACTTCCTAAAAAAGTAACGGTAGCAAGAGAAATGCTTCCAGCTTAGAAAAGGGCTCACAGTTCCGAGGCAGCCTTTTGCACTGCATACCCTACACGTAACATCGCAACGATTTAAGGCTTTTCAGAAATGACATCTGCAGGGCTTGGCCATAGAAACATCAACAGAAAGAAATATGCAATGCAGACACAGCCTCTTAACGTCACAGGGGTGAACACCAATGCACAGAATGGGTTCCACCCTTCATTAGGACAGATGTAGTGTACCAGAGCATAGACAAAATTATACAAATCGTGTGTACCTGGTTTGTAAAATTAACCGTCATCTCCTAGAATTTCAATACTTTATAGTTGTACAAAACAAACTGCTGACGCCACTACAGTCCTGAGACCTAAAGACGACTTGGGTTTAGAAGTCATCTGGGGACTTGAACACCAAGTCGTGGGGACGGGGCTGTTTGTTGGCTGGTCTGAGTGTGGGACTTTGCTGCTGGGTGTGAGCAAATTCAATGTTCACTTGGAGCCTGTGGCAGGTGAGAGGACATGAAAAGGCTCATCAGCTCTCCCATCCGCTGTGGCGCCTCCACGGGCCCTCGAGTGGGAGTGACGGCATCGGGTGATGATGCCATTGCTTTGGCAGAAGGGGGATCTGAACCACCCTCCCTTCTGAGCTGACCCTGTCCGCATAGTTGCAGGGATAGTGTCAGTATGAGCACCAAAAAGGATCCCCTTTACTGGAAGGGGCCCCAGATGAAGTGGCTAGAGTTCTGGAGCTTCACCTTGACTCAACTGCTACCCCCCCCACTCCAGCCCGTTACTTCAGACAAATCATCTCCCGCCCCCTGAACTTCAACCAGAAGTGGAGGCGACTGAGCTCTCTCTCTCTCTCTCTCTCTCTCTCTCTCTCTCTCTCTCTCTCTCTCTCTCTCTCTCTCTCTCTGAGCCAGTCTGGGGATGCCCCCTGCTGGAAGCCACCCCTTTCCTCCACTGCTGGGGATGCAATGTTCCTGTTAGTAATGCAATGTTCTAGAGGCTTCCATCAACTCTATAAACAACACTGAGTGTAAGTTTCAAAGTAGAAGGTTGGAGGAAATATGCTGAATGGATGAAAGATTTGATAGTGAGATGCAGGAGCTTATGAGGAATAATGAAACAGCTGGGATTAAAAATAAAAAGTACAACTGGCAGGCTAACGTGTGCAGATCAAACGAGAAGTACTCTTTAAACAGAATTGCTGGGTATTCCCTATGTTCCTAGGGATGAATGATAGACTACTTGGGGCAAGAGAGAGTGCTGTGAAGGGGGGATTCTGAAACAGGAAGAACCACAGACACGTCCAGAGACATGTCACGAGTCTCCCTGCCTGCTCCTGACACCCCGGAACAAAACTCGCAGGAGCGCAGCTTTCTCAGGGTGATCTGGGGAAAACAGAGATGCTCCTGGTGGGATCTGGGACTGGAGGAGCCAGGGCGGCTGTGCTGCAATGGGGGGATATTCTGTGCACCATGTGATACAGGCCACATCTGGACATTTTGAATGGTAACGAAATGCTCCATGTTGACCTTTTTTTGGGAGGTGGAGGGTGCTCCCAGCATCTAGGGGGCTTGTAAAACACATAATAGGGCAGAGGACAGCCCACCACAGAGCCACACTGAGAAGCCGGGTTGTCTCAAGAATGACATGGACATTTAGGGATTCGAGAATGGTGAGAATGTCAGTGTCCTGGAGCTGACTATGGAAACAAACCTTGGTATAATGCAGCAGAAGTATGTGAAAATCCTGCACCAAACTGGCCCTGGAGGGCCACCAGGAAGGAGGGAGCACCCTGTGGGGACCTGGGGAAGACCTGGACAGGGTTCAAAGGCTTTTGCTGACACTGGGAGAGGCCCCAAACTACAGATGAGAGAACTAAGATGGTCTGGCACTGTGAGTTCTAATGCACCAGCCAGGGTCTGACTGGAGGAAGACAGAGATAAAACCAAGAGTTTTGGGTAAATGATCTGATGGTGAAGATGGGGGAAGCAAAATCTGCCCTGGAGAGACTTTTAGAAGATGGTGATAAGAAATTCATTGGGGGAAAGGCTTAGAAGTTTTTAAGAACAAAAAGCAGTCCTCAGGGTATTCATGATACCCTCCCCAATCCTAACTCTCTGGGTAAAGGGGGTGCTAGCAGGGAGGCCGCAGAAGGCCCAGCCGAGTGTCTGAGCTCAGCAGCCCTGGTCTTCCCTTTTCTGCAGCCAACAGAATTTTCCTAGAGCTGCTCCTGGCTCCCAGGCTAGTTGTGCTTTGCAAGATAAATCCCAAGAGCCCTCTGGCAGCACGGAAGAGCCTCACTCCCTGGTGGGGACAGGAACCAGAGATCTCTATCCCTGAAATTCTGCAGTGGTGTGCCTTGAGTCACACAAGGTCACTGGCTTTCAGTCATGGTCCTGGGAAATCGGGGGGTGGGGGGTTCCCTTGAGGAAAGATGCAGAAGACCAGAACCAGAGAAACACCCCCAAGAGGGGTGATCATAAAGTCATTAATGGGATAATAGTGGAGGAAACTCAGGGGCTTGGGTGGGCACTGGAGCAACCCCTGAAGGCTCCCAAGACCCGAAGACCCAAAGGCAGCTTCCCTTTGAGGGGAAGACAGCACCATCCCACTGGCTGAGTAGGGGATGAGAGCATACTCAACAGGGAGAGCGTTGCACTTTCTTTCCTGGTCTTTCTGTAACCAGTGGCATGAGTGTAGGAGAGGCCAGGTATGGGGCAGAAGCCAGCAGACAACAGATGGAGGGAGGGGAAGGGGAGGTTTTGTTACTTACATGGGACAGAATCAAGTTTTCTTTTTTCTGGCTTAATGAAAAAAATCTTAACATAGCTCACAACTCATAAAATGAATTTTATGTGCTACTTTGTTAATTGATTCTTAATAATTATAAAACTATCCCTTTTCATGGAGAAATCTGGTGGGGGTGGGGCACGCCCTGTCCCCTTCCCAATCAATGAAGCACTTATGGAAATAGCCAAAGACATACGGCCATAGCTAACCAATGCTGCCTGGGATATGCTTTGGAATATTTGGGCGGAAAAGTTGACTCTCTCCAGGGAAGATTGACTTCCTCCCAGATGAGCATATTTGAAAGGGCAGAGTTAAACAGATGAGCCTCTCAAAGCCCAGACAAACAAAGTAGTATGACTTATTGAGAGATGTCAAGAAAGTGGATGCTCTTAAGAGACTGCATCTAGACCTACTGACACAGATTTGAGATACACATACATATCAGCACTAGCAGACTGAGTGACACTAAATAGACATTCAATAAATATGTTTTGAATGACTATATGTGTATGTTATATGTATATACCAACACAAACATACACATATAGTTACAACAGACTAATCTGCATACTGGATCATCAGAAATAATCTATCCACAGGCTGGTGAGGAAGGATACTTGCAATTTTCTAGGGAGCAGATGCTAAAACTGATGAGCCTTTTACTGGATGGTGGATCAAATTTTTCTCCCAGCCACAGGATTTTTCGGTACTTTGTAGCCCACAGTGCAGTATTCATGCCAATTTTAATTTTATGTCACTAAATTTCAGTGGTTTGAATATTTACTCATTTCAAAAAATTTGGTTGCCCAGATAAAATATAACTGCACACACATTCTATAAATGTTGTAGATTTAGATTTTCATTATTTATCTACTTATTGCAGAAAGAGCCATCTTCTCTTTTTCATTAAATAATCAATCATGACATTAGTACAATACAATTTTATATTTTTAAATATACTATATATGTTAAGGATAAGGGGTGAATTTTTCTTCCTTTGTAATACCTGTTTAAGAGTTTAATGAATTAGGAGATTAGTTTTTAACCTCGAGGAAAAAAAGTACAAATTTGTCTCATTAGCATATTTCTACCAAGCATTTCTTAAGGCTATATTTTAACATTTGGTTTCAAAAAGAAAAGTTTCATTTAAAAAATAATTTAGTGAATTACATTCTTTCATAACTTTAACCCTAATTAGTTACAAAGGTAAGTCTAAAGATTCTTAGTTTGTGTACTAATTTACATTTACATTTAAAGATTAATTTTACTTGTATCTTAAAACAAGAATTTTATGTTGAAAAAAAAAAGAACTAAATACATTTGTATAAAGGCTGTAAATGTCCCATAGCAAATGCTCTGTCTCATTATTTTCTACCACAATTAGAAACAGGTCTCTGCAGAGACTGAGTTTTCAAGGTTCCCCCTTCCAGAGGAATTGTGGGCTGCAGGTCTGAAGAACACATAGGAACAACTCAATTTCTCTTTTTACAACTGTACCGGAACTTCACAGCTACAATGGTAGTATGAACACATGAAAAAAAAAAAATGACTTCACTCAAATAGGATTTAGAAAAATTGGGGTGACCTTGGGGCCAGGGCCCCACCCCTGTGTGGTGAGGTTTACAGTCAGTCCTTGGATAATGGAGAGAGTGTGTGTGTGCACATATGTGTGTGTGTATATATACAGATATCTATATATATAAATAACCAGGTTCAGTCCTTTACAAGCCTGTAAATATGATGTTGTGCTCCGTGTTCACTATTTGAAACTTCAAATACACAGGCCATGCAGAGAAGAGTTTCTTGTGTATCCCTGTTTGTTACCACCTGTTAAAACATAAAAAGATGTATACATATGTAAAGAAAATAACACATGGATGAAAGCATATTCCACTTGTGCTCTGGTGACCATGATTTCACTGGAGAGGAACAGTCTGAAGCCTGATAAATGGATTACAGAGATCTGTCCAGTCTCATTCTAAGCAATCCAGTACAAATCCAAGATATTATAAACCCACCTGGAATCTTTATGAGGTCTAGTTTCTATGTGTAGAAAAACCTACGGATAGGATTTCACTGGAAAAGTAAGCTCAAAAAGGAAATTAAGTGTTGTTATTTTTGGTAGTAGCTGACTTCTTTGCAACAAATACAACCTTCTAATGTTCTGTTCCACACAAATGTCTCCGTCATTTACTCTAGGAATTGTCTCCAATCTTAGTCCTCAACTTGTGCTGAATGTTTTTCTCACAATAGCCAGTATTCCCTGAGTGCCTTGCTCACCTCTGTATTCACCGGCAGTGCCCAGACTCACTAGAGTAAATGCTGAGTAAAGGAAGAGTAAAGTAAGAATAAAGAGTTAATGCTGAGTAAAGTAGAAAGTACCAATATGAAATGATACATCCTTTTGTTCCTAAGGCTTTACCTTTCAAAGTGTCTTCTGAAATACAGTAAGTTTTCACAGGCTATCACTGATAGACTTTTGGAAACTGTGGCTTTAAGTGAAATGACCTATAATTAAAAGGGGGGGGGGTCCTCGCATTTCATTCAATGTCTAATCTTCCAGAATTTCTTTTTCTCATCAAAATTATAATGAGATGATCATACAAATGAAGTTATCCGCCTATCTGCTCTATTTATCTGCTTCCCATCTTGAGCTCAGACTCTTCACCTGGTCTCTCCTCTATGCCGCATCTTCAGCCTCACTCAGAACTGAGCTCTCTGGCCCAGGCTTCTTGCTGCTCCCTGCATCCACCTTGTCTTCATCCTGTCTCAGTTCCTCATGGCACTCTTAGAAAGAACTTCCTAAAAGCAAAACAAACTCTGTTTCTTGACACGTTTCTGTGACTCTCTGTTACTTCTGATAGGCCAGCTCAGAATTTGCAAACATTTAGGAGAGAGAGACAGAGAGACAGAGAGAAACAGAGAGAGAGAGAGAGAGAGAGAGAGAGAGAGAGAGAAAGAGAGAGAGAGAAAGAAAGAGAGAGAGAGAGAGAGAGAGAGGAGGGGGAACACTTGCCAGGCAGGGGGTGGGGGATGATGGGAGGAAATGTAGGGACTCTGGTGCTGGGAAATGTACACTGGTGGAGGGATGAGTGCTGGAACACTATATGACTGAAATCCAATCATGAACAGCTTTTAATGGTCTATCTCAGTGATTCAATAAAAAAATTTAAAGGGAGAGAGAAAGAGAGAGAGCGCGCGCGCCTAGTCCATTTTACAGTGTGCTTATCCCCCACGGTGTATCGGGCAACTCCGCTCCTGCAGTTCCCCTTACCCTCTAGACACCCAAATTTAGGATGCAGTGCCTGACTGAAGAATAATGACTCAAATTACTTCATTCTTTCCCATCATAGACTGCTGTACTGTATGCAGTACAGGTAGAATGATATATATTTTTTAGTTCCCAGGCTTCCAGTGTACACTAAGTTCCTGAAGAACAGGCACCGTATTCCCCACTAAACTAGTGTAATGTTTAGCATGCATGTTTATTTTGGGGGGAGGGGTCTCACACCCAGCAATGCACAGGGGTTACCACTCCTGGCTCATGCACTCAGGAATTACTCCTGGCGGTGCTTGGGGACCATACAGGATGCTGGGAATTGAACCTGTGTCCGCCACATGCAAGGCAAAAGCCCTATCTGCTGTGCTATTGCTTCACCCCCTGTATGCATGTTTTTGCTCAATGAATGAAAATGCACAGCAACAGCCAATACAGACTGCTAAGTATGCACCTCTGTAGCAAAGAATGCTTGTCCCATATTGAATAACTCTATGGCATTAGAACTGGCTTTAGGAAACAGCTAGGCTTCCTCCTAAGAGACAGAAGAGGGTGCACATTCATTCAAAGTTTTGGTTAATTCCTGAACTACCTAATGTTAACACTGGGATGACATACGTACTTCCTGCTCACCTGACAACTAAGGTGTTCTATCTGTTCTTAAACAGCAACAGAGAACATCTATTGGACACCTACCTGTCAGCACTCAACCCGAAATCACTAGAGGAGAGGATACTAATGAACGGTTATAAAGAACATGTTTTCTAGACTTCTCCCTTGATGAGCTTCATTTTAAGAGACATAGGGCTGGAGTAATAGTACAGCAAGTAGAGGACATGCACTGTATGCAGCCAACCCAGGTTCAATCCCTAGCTCCCCATATGGTCCCCAGAGCTTGTCAGGAGATGGAGTGCAGAGTCAGCATTTAGTCCTGAGTACTACTGGGTATGATCCAGAACCAAAATAAATAAATTTTAGAGACACGGCACATCAAACACTCCATTCAGATTCTCTCCTTCCCTAGAATACATGAAAGTTATATGCAACATTCTCTGTGTGCCGACTGTGTGCCAACCACGTGTCTGGAGCCAGAGCCTCTCTGGGGCTCACATCAGTCCTGCAGCAGCACACAGGTCTCAGCACCTCCTGGGAGCTGTAAAAATAAACACATACCCGGACGTGGGACCCCACACCCAGAAACTCCCGTTTTATTCACTGGAGCTAGGACCTCCTGGATGAATTTGATAGACAGGAGGTTTTCAATGAATTAAAACTGTTTTACAGTGGTGGCTGGTGCTTACATCTATTGGTTCATGAAAGTTACTGCTAAGTGTCAAGGATTTTATGATCTGGATAACTACTGGTAGGGCATACTACAGATGTGGGCAAGAACTGCAAACTAGATTTTGGGATTGGGGTACAAACTGAAGCCCTCCCTCCCTCCCTCCCTCTCTTCCTTCCTGCCTTCCTGAGTGGTTTGGATCCACTCTCTTACTGGATCCAAAATTCCAGGTAAATCATTCTTGCTCTACCAATTCTAATACTCAATCCTAGTAACAAAGAGTTGTGAAGCAGGACTTGTGTGTGCTGCATTTTTTAGTACAATATTGTCTTGCTGAAATTTTTAGCAAAATTGTTTCCAGCAAGTTTTATTTGGGAATTTTTCCTTCCACTTAATCAAGGAATGCTATTTTCTAACAATGATCCTTATGAAACTCATTACTGGGTATTTTATAGGTATATTTTGAGGACAATACTGTTCTTAATAATCTTCCCAAGTCCCCCGAAGAAATTTGTTTTAAAATTAAGTTGGGGGATGGTACCTCCTCATACACAGCACTGTCCAGGGGGCCAGAAAGCTTTGCAGAGCCCTGTACACTTCCCTCCCTCTGCTCCCATTATTTCTGATCATACTCTTCCCCTGAAGCAGATCAAGGCTCCCCCACCTCCCCACACACACATTCCTGCTCATGACATTCTGCTCTAATTTGCAGTTTTTTCTGAGAGCTTGTATTTTGGCCATATTAACATATGTTGCTTCTCGGAAATGTCTGAAGTATAAACTAGCAAGTAGCTTCTTCGCTGAGGATTTGCATACCATTCGAAGCTGAGACAGAAACTCAGCTAACATGGAATTACCTAGGGATCTTAAGAGAGACACAAAGGCCTGGTCCTACCCTTACTAACTTGACCTCGGGTGCAGCCTTGCTACCAGAACTTCTACAAGTTCTCCAGGCCTTCCCAAGGTGCAGGCAGCATTGGAATCTGGGAATGTTACTTTTTTGTTTTTAGGCCATACCCTGCTATACTCTGGGCTTTAGTCCTGGCTCTGTGCTCAGGGGTCACTCCTAATGAGACCCGGGGGTCCATATGGGGTGTGGGGGATTGAAACAGGCTGAAGGCAAGGAGAGTTCCTTGCCCACTGTAATCCTGCTCTGGCCCTAGGAATGTCTCTTTTTTTTTTGCTATCCTCTCCAATTCCAGTACTGCCAAGTTGAGTGAGCCCAGCAGGATGGGACCCTTCATTTCCACAGTCTTGAGCTCATATCAGACTCAACTTTTCCCTATAGGGGCTGTGAATTTTGGGCCACCTTGTGGCCCAAGCCTAAGCTGTGTCCCAGTCTTGCAGGACTTCTTCAAATCTTTCCACTAGTCTTAGCACTGAGTTTGACAAATAGAAAGAAACAAAATAGTTACCAATAAAATTGTGAAGTTTTCCAAAACACTGTTCATCATATATTTCTCTGGTAAATGTTTGAGCTTGTGGATAAAGTTGATCATATATTCACACATTGGGGAGCGGTTTATTCGGTATACAAATCGGCCATTCTCAAACCTTGCATACTCCGTCTGGGAGAGAAAGAGGATTTGATCATATTTTATGTTTCTGATTTCAAAACATAGCACTGTAGCACTGTCCTCCCGTTGTTCATCGATTTGCTTGAGCAAGCACCAGTGACGTTTCCATTGTGAGACTTGTTGTTACTGTTTTTGGCATATCAAATACGTCACGGGGAGCTTGCCAGGCTTTGCCTTGCAGGCGGGATACTCTCGGTAGCTTGCCGGGCTCTCCGAGAGGGGCGAAGAATTGAACCCAGGTCGGCCACGTGCAAGGCAAATGCCCTACCCACTGTGCTATCGCTCCAGCTGATTTCAAAACATATGAAACATAGTGTTTCCTGCAGAACCATTTTACTTTGCGACATAACTTGTTTATCAACTGTGCTATTATGTAGATTATATTTTTAAAAATATCAAACCATCCTGAAACTTAATGCCACACTCAGAAACCACAGTGGTTTTTTTTTTCCCAGAAAATCAAGAGGAAAGGGTAGGATAGATGATAGCTTTATTCAGATTCTTTTACACCTGATGCTTTGTCAGGTCTACTCCCTGCTCTGTGCTTGGTAGTCACTCTCAGTACTGCTCAGGGGACAATACTGTGTCATGCTGGGTATCAAACCTGGGCATCCTACAGGAAAGCATGTGCTCCATCCTTCTGAGCTATGCTTCTGGCCCAACTAAGATGACAATTTTGTTTGTATAGTTGGTTGGTTTGTGGCCAAATCCAGCTATGCTCAGAGATCATTCCTGGCAATGGTTGGGGGACCATATGTGGTGCCAGGGATCGAATCCAAGTCAGCTGTACCCAAGGCCAGCACCCTACCCACTGTGCTATCTCTCCAGCCCCAAGATGAAAGTTTTAAATAAGCATGATATATTTTAGATCAAAAAAAATAACAAAACAAAAAACTGTGACTACTGTTAAATGATGGTCTAGTTGAAGACCTAGGAGCACAGCCAGGCAATCCCAGTTCTTCAAAGAGCCAAAAAAAAAAAAACAAAAACAACAACAACAACAACAAAACCCTTCTTGACTCTGAAAAAAACCAAAAAAACAAAAAACCTCACAGGCCAGTGGCCATCACATTTCTCTACCTTAGGAGAAACCACTTCACAGCAGCCATGAACTCTGCTACTCCTGTCTTTAAAAACAGGGAGAATAAACGAAGAAAAACAAAACACAGGAAAAATTAAAAAAGGATAGAAAAAATAAAAAAAATTTATTTGGCCCCCAAATCAAAAGACAAAAACTCTTGGCCCAAACCAAGCCTAGACAGTCTGCCCCTGAGGGAAAGTTCCAGTACACAGAGGACACTTACCTCTACTTTTTCTACTACTTGCTTTCCAAAGGAGCAAACTTTGGTGGAACAGGTGACGGTCATATTTTCAGAACTTTCATACTGACTGGTCACACCGTAAAAAGCCCCGGCATCATCTTGAATATTGCAGTTTAGATCGGCCTGTGAGATGGGAAATGAAAACAGGTTATTAGCTCATCTGAAGCAGCACAGCAACAAGCAAAAATCAGGGCGAGATATCCAGGCTGGGTGAGTGGTGGGCAGGGACAGGTTGGAGGCCGTGGGCTCTGCTCTTCTAGAAACAAGTTCAACGGTCATTTCAGAACAGAATGTTCAGGGGCTGGAGCAATAGCACAGCGGGCAGGGCGTTTTCCTTGCAAGCAGCCGACCTGGGTTCGCTTCCCAGCATCCCATATGGTCCCCCGAGCACTGCTAGGAGCAATTCCTGAATGCATGAGCCAGGAGTAACCCCTGTGCATTCCTGGTTATGACCCAAAAAGAAAACAAACAAACAATAAAAACCCCTGAATGTTCATTTTTCCCCCTTCCCCTAGAGAGTATTCGATATGCCAGACACAGTAACAACAAAGTCTCCAATGGAGACGTTACTGGGCCCGCTCGAGCAAATCGACGATCAACGGGAGGGCCCCTAGAGATGACAAACTCCATGTACATGTATCTCATTTTATGGTTTACGGATTCAGGGTCAGGAAAATAATACATGTTTATTATCAGAAGTCTTGTGAGGCCACTTATGTATGTGCCGAGATCAGTCTATGAACTGGGCTCATATTCATTAATCTTCGGAGTTATTTATAAGACTAGCAGGATTGGTAGCTGACAGGTAGTTTGTTTTGTGTATCAAAAACAAACCATCACATACAGGGAAATTCTTCTTGTGAATGGTTTACATAGATGCCATATCACACAGAGAACTGTTACTTGGCAAATTTTCATGAGAACCTATGAGGCAGGGAGGTAGCTGGGCCCCTGGCAATAAGTTTCAGAAAGAAATAAAATCAAGATGCACTCTGAAGCATGGGCATTACTGTCACAGCCTCCTGCCAGGCCCAGAACACAGTGACTGAAGCTTCTTTAGAGATGCAGGTCTTGGGGCTTGAGAAGACAATGAACGATGCCCGGCTGGCCCAGAGAAGACTAGTGCCCTGGGGGAAGAGAATCTTGAACTGGAACAAAATGCTAGAGTATAAACATAAGTGACACAGCAGTACCTGACAGCTCTGACCTGCGCAGAACTCCAGGGCAGGGCAATTTGGGAAAGACCAACTGAACAGTCCCTTCCCCGAAGTCCACTCAGGGCCCTCTCCTCTTCTTGAAGGGCTGCCTCTTTGCTCCCCCATTTTTTGTTTGTTCTTGGGTCACATCCAGGGTTGACTCCTGGCAGGGCTTGGGGTCCAGGCCCCAACAATGGCTTAGGTCACATCCAGTCTCCTTCTGAAATTCTTTTGTGAGATTAGGCAATGAGCCTGGAAAATCTAGGCAGAGGTCAGGACTGACTTTTCCTTTCCTGGAATGAGCAAACCCTGACTGAGGGCAGGGCTCATTGGAAAGGAGTGTGGGGAGCATTAAGACCAGGTGGAGCCCAAGGTGGTACAATGATAGCTTTGCAGGGCTAGTGCGGGGGGGGGCACCCCCTAGTGTTTCCTGTCCCCCAGGTACTTTCCCCAGGATATGCAGGCGGGTCAAGCAGGACAGCAAAGCTGGTCAAAAAGCTCCCTATGGCAACGATTGCTTCCCCTGTCCTCCATACATTCCATGACCCAAATCTTCTCTGTGAGGCTCTGAGGAACATGACAGAGAACTTGACCGTGACCTAACATAAAAGGTACATGCATAAAACAGTGATAAACCAGGCAGAAAAAAACATCATGTGAAAAGTCCTGAGAGTGGGCTGGAGTGATAGTACAGTGGCTAGGGCGTTTATCTTGCACACAGCTGACCTGGGTTCAATTCCCGGCATCCCATATGGTCCCCCCCAAGCACTGCCAGGAGTAACTCCTGAGTGTAGAGCCAGGAGTAACCCCTAAGCATCGCTGGGTGTGACCCCCCCCCAAAAAAAGAAAGGTCCTGAGAGATCAAACAGGAGGTGGCACTATTCTCAAAGTTACTACTTAAGGGATGATGAGGAAAAAAACCAACAAAATGGGGGAGAAGAGCTGGGCTGGTATGGCTCACACCCTGGGAGGAAGATCTCTTAGCTTTTCTGTCTACAAATGGCAAACGTGTGCCCCCTCCTCGTTTCACTTCCCTGGACACAGGAAAAGGCAGCCCACAGAGACTGGCGCAAAGGACTCCAGACCCCTAGGAACTTACTCCAAAAAGAATACAAGAGTGAGTTCATATGTTTATTGAAGGATAAAAGCAGGGGTCGGAGATGTGGCTCCATGGTACATGTAAAAGACTTGCACACATGTGATACGGGGGGGTCACTCTGGAACCACCAAGAAAAAAAAGATAATGACTAAGTAACATAAGTATGCAACTCTGATGCAGATATACATATATATATATATAAAATCAAAACACAAATCTGACACACTAAAATATTTTATCAACGACACATCATAATAACAATGAAATAATCTTTACATGATTTGTCCCCTACATTTCCCTACAATGGACTTTCTTACAGCACAAACCAGAACAAATCATTTCTCCTTCTCCCTGTGCCTTAGAATGCCCCCCAAATCGTGATTTTTGTTTGTTTACGGGTCACAGACAGCAATATTTAGGGATTACTCCTGGAAGTGTGCAGGGGACTATATAGGGTACCGGGGATCAACCCCAGGTTAGGTATATGCTCTCTACTCCCTGTACTACTGCCCCAGCTCCAACTATGGTTTGTTTTAATTGGGATGAATGATCTGTAGTAATAATGACAGAGATTATTAAAGAAAATAAAGTTGCCCAAAGCATATACATTAAGAAAACCTGTGCTCAGAAATGATCTCAACAAATGATCAGTTTTAATGGTATTAAGGTTAACAATTTTTTCACATGAAATCAAAGTATTTAATGTGAAAAAAAAGGGGGGGCATTACAGAAAGGGTTCCACTTAATTTTTTTCTTTCTAGTTTATGGTGCCCAGGGCTTACTACTGGTTTTGTCCTCAGGGATCACCCCCTGGCAGCTCAGGGGACCATATGGGGTGCCAAGGATTAAACCTGGGTCAGCCATGTGCAAGGCACATACCCTGCCCGCTGGACGAAGGCCCTGGGTCCTCTTGTTTAATTTATATGAAGTGACTGTGCCCATGTGCCCAGCACCTGGAGGAAGGAGAGAAGCCATCTCAGCACGTGTCCTTGCAGTTCGTCTGGAAGCCTGAACTACTATCATTTGTTTTCATATGTGTTTTGAACTTGAAGTGGGAAGAGCGGAAGACTCACTCCTTTTTATCCGGTTTCATTAGTACTGCAACATGGGATTTTTCCAGGCTATGTGTATCTCATTTGTTCTTTTTTATTGGAGGGGCGTGGGGGGAGACACACACCCAGGGACGGTGCTTAGGGCACACACCTGGCTCTGCACTCAAGGATCATTCCTGGTGGTGCTCGGGGGACCATACGGGGTGCCAGATATGGAAGCCTCCGCCCTCACTTATTTTTATTATTTCAGAGTATCCCACTGAATAAAAGATACCGGGGTTAGCCATTCTGCTACTGACAGACATTTGCAGCGCTTCCAAACTGTACACATTATGGTGCTACTATAACCTCTTTATTGTTTGCTTTTTGGGTCACATTTGGCAGTGCCTAGGGCTTACATATTTTTAATATGCTTTTGACATAAATGTCCTTCCTTCTTTCCTTTTTTTTTTTGGTGGGATGACTGTACCTGGCTTTGTGTTTTGGGGGCTACTCCTAGCTCAATACTTAAGGGTCACTCCAACTGGTGCTCGAGAGATCGTGTGGTATCAAGGGCTGACCTCAGGCCTTTTGCACGTGAGCATGTATCCTAGCCCTTTGAGCTATCTTCTTGGCCCCAACACACAGATGTCTAGGAGGTGAACTTCTGACTCCTAAGGTCTATGCATTGAAATGCAGGTAAAAGGGACAAATAGTTTTAAAATCTTTTAAACTTTATTTCCCCTAACAGTTTGAGAAAACTTAATATTTAATTATCAGTGTAAATTTTAAAGACTTCCCTATTTACTAGTGGAAACAGCCAATTTGCCGTTACAACTGCTTTGTAATTACTCTTGAACATGGAAAATAATCACGTAGCTATCCAACCATATCACAGCTGCTCTTCGGGAATTCTCTAGGAGGAGGTATTGATGTGAAAGATAATTATCTGTCAGCGGACAATATTGCAAATTATCTCAGAAAGAAATGTGGCCACTGAACTCCCCCCAAGCAAAGGTATTATCAAAGAAGGAATGAATGCCAGCATTAAATCAACAACAAAGGCAGTGAGATCAGGAGGGGCTGGGATTCGTGCTGAGCTCATCGTCCGCTCCACCAACTCATTTTCTCGAACTGAAAACTGAAGACAAACCTAGCTGAGATGGTTCTGAAGGCAAGAAAATGAGGGGGGGGGGGGGGAAGAAAATAGGCTGATATTAAAGATCCGAATGATTTCTGCCCTGTTATCAGCTTTCATCTGGCCACAGGATCCTTTCCAACAGCAAATAACTTGGGCTGGAGAGAAGCAAGGGCTGCAGGTGCTCGCCTTGGCCCTGTTGGCATCACATGGATGCCACAGCAGTGCTGGGCATGACCCCTGAGCTCCACCAGGTGGCCCCCAAAACAAAAACAAAGAAAATAAATACAACAAATAGATACCGACCCCCCCCCCCCAAATAATAAATACAACAAAATGGAACAAAAACTTAGTACATAGCTTTCCAACAAATACCAAATCTGAACCATATCTTATCCTTTGGGGGGTACGTTAGGTTAAGAGGGTTCATCAGGCTAAAGTGTTAAAATGAATAAACTACTTTCAGGGATGAGAGAGTGCTCAACACAGAGCACTCGCCTTGCATGTCTGAGGCCCTGGGTTTGATCCCTGGCTCTGCATACCCCCCTGGGTGCCTGCCCTTGAGCACAGCTAGGTATGAACAAAATAGAACAAAAGGAAACAAAAAAACCTCTGAGCAGCGATTTGTAGGGCAATCCCAGGAGTACTAGGCTTTTGAA